GGTAAGATTTCATATATATAAAATTGCATTGTGGGTCATTTTTTGATTGTGTAATTATGGGTCAAAAATTTTTTTTTGTAAAAAATGAATATAGTTACTAATTTATTGTCATAAACAAAATTTTAGGCACATGGTTTGTGGGTCAATATATAATGACCCATAAACCATACAAGGTACCCACAACGTGAGTGAAAAAGACGCAAAATAACCCACAATCCGCATGGCACAAAACTATATATATATATATATATATATATATATATATATATATATATATATATATATATATATATATATATATTCCAGTCATACTAGTATTTAGCTATTTCTTTCTTCCTTTTTTTCGTTTGTAATCCCTATATAGAATTAATAAATTAGAAAATTCAAATAACCATAATCTAGTGAAAGATAGAAATTCTTTCTCTGAATGATTCTCCTTTTACATTATGAAAAGAAAATGAAAACACTTTTCAAAGTTTAAATACTTATATTTGACTTCTACTAATGTTATGTCCCATTGTTCATAAAGAATAAATTCAAAAAATATTCAAGAACATAGCCTTTACAAGTCTGAAACATCAAAACATTCATTAAGAATAGGAAACATGATGTAAGCATGCCAAGACCCCAAATGAACAACTCTTTGAGGTAAATTTCTATTATCACTCATTTGAGAAAATTAACTCCATATATATACATTTGTGGTAGCTCTCATGAACATGCAGAGAAAAAATATATTCAATTCTGTATGAAGTTTGTCAGAGGTCAATACTTGACCTAATCACACGGTGCAATAATATCTACCGGTACATGAATTAAAAAAATGACCGTAACCGCCATGCAAGCCGATTTACACCTTGCGTCATTTTTCAAAATCTAATACGGACGGTTAGTGCAATAATTAAATTCAAAAATATTCAATTGTCTGTCTCAAATGTATATATAAGTAATAAATAACAAGCTTATAAACTTCAATGGGAATTGAAGTGGGTCGGTCACATGATCAAATCCTGTGAAGGCCTTCTTAAATGAATAAGAGTTTTACAACCTAAATCTATTTAAAATGTAGGAGTTGAAATCTCTGTGTTTGACAAACATTGTGTTACTGATGTTGTCTTTTTGTACAGGACACTTAGTATCTTTGCAGTTGTGGAAAACCTCTTCCAACTGAATAATTTTACAAGGATGCTTATAAATATGTCTGTCCTTGAGTTGTAAAAGTGGACATCCTGTTTCTTGGGAACGACCAACTTTCTCTAAAATCTGAATTTTTACGGCATATATGATCTCTGCACTTCTTTTTTTCTTCACAACTAGTGCTTCTTTAAAAATTCCAACCATGGACTGTAAACATAAAGAAAATCTATGTTGGTACAATTATGGTAATCAAGTTAAGGTACTCCGATCCCCAGGTTCTGAGAATCAGGCATGGGCTAATTGAAAGTGCTATCAAAAAATCTCTCAATTCTCAAAGTAATGAGTTTTTACCCACGATAATTCAGATGGATTAATTGTAAAGCATGAAATGTCATCACCCAGCTTACACAGAATCACTTGCATGACTATTAAATTTAATCCTTATATAAATGACAAGCTCAATTGAATATAATATAATTTTATGATTATTTAGTTGTCATCACTTTCAATCACAAAGTGAATTACCTCACTTTCTGCTGAATAATACTTTAAAGCATCACCAACATTGGCCAACTCATTCCTCTGTGTCTTAATGGCACTGCCAATGTAAATGCAGGCTTCCTCTGGAGGAATGTAGGGTACATCCAAATCTGTACAGAGTTGAAGAAGAGTGGATTCTTCGAGTAGGGTTGGAAGGGCTTTACCATTCGGCTTCCTATTCAGCTTCCTTACGACCACTGCACCTTCCTCCTCTGGTAAGGATCTACCCATATACTGCAGGACCTCCCGTTGTAGACCCAAGTCTTTTGCTCCATGTCCTGAACACACCCTAAATAAACAATATTTTTCTCAATTGTTTGACTTTCAATAATTCACTATTGTTCATTAATTTTAACTTTTCCAAACAGAAATGTTAGAATTCTGCTACAAAGATCTCTGACAAGAGATATTTATGAAGGTGTACCTCCTTTAAGGACAGATAATAAAAACAAAAATATGGAAACTTGAATGGTGATTTTCTTTTATACCTACCAGTATATTGGTTGTAAATGATATTGTACTTTACAAGTCTACTTATGAAAGCTTCAATTTGATTGATGTCTCTCAATGACAGATGGAAGGATAGGGGTCCAGTTAATAAATGTGTTGTTTTGTGACTCTGATTTTATAATATATATTTACCAATCATTGTTCTGTGGAAAATATCCACCAGAAATTATATGGTTCAGCAATGTCATGTGGGAGAAGGATATGGCAGTATCTCTACTCCTCTGTTTTTGGTTCTGGTGGAAAATGTCATTCCGAATGGAAGCATGGTTTTTCTCAAAGCCATCCTCAGTGAAACCTTTTGGAGGACCATGCCTCTTGATGTCATCTACCTGGAAAATCATAACAAAACATGTCATTAAAAATTCACAGTTTTAGAACTAAAACTACAAGGCCTTGCTCAAAATTGCCTCAAAGAAAACTGGAAATGCATATGAACTAAAGTTAAATACATTCAAATCTTTACTTAAGATGGTTTGCTTTCGCAGTGTTGAAAAATGAAATAGAATAATATATTTCACCAATGCCGTAAGTCATTCTCCATGATTATTTTAATTGTTTGAACATAATCAAAAAGGGTGCTGTTGTAGTAGAGAATTACTTACCATATGACAAAGGAGGTGAGTCTTTGCTTTCCTTTTCAAATCTGGTATATGGGTCTCAACTTGGTTAAGGTACTTGCTGATAAGATGTTCAGCCTCCTCAATGTCAGACTCTGTAAACTGGTCTTTCTGTAGGACTTGTTGTATCTATTGTGACATGCATAATGAAGAGAATAAATATATACTTGCTTTCAAATAATATTGGTAAATAATAATGATATCCAATAGATGCAATGTATATTAGTTAATGCATCATGAATAGATTTATTTTTTACCTGTGCAAGCGTGTTCAGCATTTTTAGAAACTGACGAGGAATACCAACATAGGCAAAATTGATGGGAGCAAATTGTAGCTAAAACAAACAAGAACAAAATAATAAATGAATGACACCCTCTGGTAAATATCTTATACACTTAAATTTCTTTTCTTATAAAACTCTTACATATTGCTTGAAGTCCTTGCCTTGGCGACTGTCCAAAGAAGCAAAAAATTTGTTAGCAAAAGAAAGCTTTGTCAGTGAAGACAGGTGAGCTTGCAGCTTCTCAACTTTCTCGTCTGATAATGATGCTGTTAAACACTTCACCAAGTGTTTAGTAAGGCCTAATGGCATCAGATGGAGGAAACCCACTGGTATATCCCTAAATGAAAAAGATGATCAATTTAAAATAACAATGTTCAATCTCATAAATCTATCAAACAAAAAAAAAATGCAAACAGGGCATAATATATACTAGTATTTCAAGTGGGATCTGATATTTTAGTAATCATCTCTTGTTGAACAATCACATGACTCACTGTGAGAAACTGGCATTGATCAGACAAAACCGAGTAATCCTATGTTAAGTTGTGTAAAAAAGATTGGCAAAACAATTTGGGTCATTTTTGGAGGAACTGGTATATATTCCTATGCAAAACTATGTTCAATCATTGAGGCCCCATTCTTTCCCTGGTAGCTAGCTGGGGGTCATGATTTGAACAAATTTGAATACCAAATTTTCACTTCATTATCTCCCCTAAAATGAAGGCATGGCACCTTATTTGAGGTGTTCCAGCAGGAACATGTTTACATCCACATATTTACCATTTTCCTATGACATGTTTTGCTTAGGAGTTATTCCCCTTAGCCACCATCTTGTAAGGCAAAGCAGTGAATATATCTCTTTTAAACATGCATTCAAGAAAAATATGAGGGAAAATATTTGAAATCTTATAATCATGAATTAATAGAGGCTATAAAAAATGTGTATTCATAAGAAAAATAGTGCTATATTTACCTCAGTAACCAGTATAAGAAATTAAACTTTGTTGAATAATGAAGGTATCTGGGAATGTTGTCCTACAATATGGCAGTTAAGGGGAATAACTCCTAGGCAAAATATGTCACAGAAAAAGGGTCCATTGGAGGAAGTATTTAATAGATTTAAGTTTCATCTAAATACCTGTGTGGATTAATTATGTCCCACAATGGATTTTCATATTCTTTGACACCAGTTTGTTGTCTTAGTTTCCGTTTGTCTGCCTCCATACTTCTCATATTGATTCTGTTAATTGTGGTTAACGTCTTTGATGGAGTCCTCTCTCTGGCTTTACTTGTGGCATGGTCTACATCCGCCTAAACACAAATTATTATGTATCATTAATTTATTTCAAATGATTATTTGATATCTATATATATAAAATATCCGAATGAATAGTCAAAGTGTTATAAACTGGTGAAAGTATGCGTCAGTGAAACTAAACAATGCATTAATTAATCAGCATGAAATTAATCATTTCTCATGAAGTTACTTTTAATTTTTGCTTAACATATAAAAATTAAAAAAAAATTAAAAAAAAATGTTTGACAGGCTTACATAACAGCGTGGACAATATTTTGTAGCACAGGCTCCAAGATGATTGCAGAGATAAGACTGCATGTTAAAATCTGCGACAATTATGTTTAAGTCTGTCGTTATAATGCATTCTTCCTTTCTATAAGCATCAAAACCAGAAATGCCATCCCTAAAAAAATAAGTACATATACTTCATTCAGTAAATACCCATTATACTACCAACCATTCATTTTTTGATGTATACTGTTCATTGATCCTCTTGTCCAATTCATTTCAAGATCTTGAGTCATATTTTTTTTTCAATATTTTAAGTTATTTTGAAACATAATCATGCATTAAATGTATCAAATACCTTTTACATGATTGTATATCCGAGATGACAGGTTTCATCAAAGTCATGGGCTCCACTTTTTCAGAAGCACATAAAAGGGAAATTGTATCATGTTGTTGTCGAAGAGGAAGCTTTAATCCTATTTTAAAAGAAAGCAAACTGAGATTAAGATAAACAGCAAGTCTATCGTTCTTTGAAAGAGTTCTGTTGTGTAAATGTACTCAAATATAAAACAATAAGATATTTATACATTTTGATACATTTTGATATGCTGCTTATCACGGAATCAACATTTGACAGGGCCAATTTAGTTTTGTTGTAGAGTTGGGTAGTGCGAGTGTTGCGATATATTGCAATATTTTACTTTGAATATATTGCAACATATTTTGTACTTATATTCATTAATAAATTTGAACAGAATGTTTGAAATGCTGTTAAGTTCAAAGACTAATTGAATTTATCTTCAAGTTTTAAAGGGGGAGGAGGAATAAGACATTTATTGCACACACTTTACTTTAAATTAAATACCAGGTAAAATTAAAAAATAAAATGAACTTTCTTGTAGAATTTTCAAATTGAAATAAAAAAGTTTTACAGATTATAATTTTTTTATTTTCAATTTTTTATTTATTTTTTTTTTTTTGGAGGGGGGGGGACCTAATGAAGGAGTGAAGTAGCACAAAATGTTATTACTCCAATAACATAACTGTACCTGTAGGTTGCATCTGGATGCAATGTAGGCCAAGCCATCGTTTGCTTCTGTTTGCCGAGGTGTCATCGATAAAAATATTAACTGGTAAGGTCCAAACTGGCGATAGGCTCTCAACAAATGGAGACAAATTTTCATGCTGGCAAAAGGCCTATATGCAAAATTAAACTGTGTTACTTATCCAGCTTAAATGCAGTTGAACAAATTTAAATATTACATGCTAACATGTCAACATCTACTAGGATTTTATAACAAAATAAAATACTGCTTGTGTAGGTCTTATCACAAATAATGATCATACTTGCTCTGTACATTCTCTAAGGTGTTTGACATCAACTTCTATTGTCTCTTCACTAGGCCTGATATCATTCACATCCCTAATAAAAGGAAAGAAAAACTTTATTGAAAATCACTTCCAGAATAAACCTGGTTCTAGACATTCTGATTCTATATACATGTACATGTACCATAGAAGCGGAAATTATAGCATGGATTCAATTTGAAAATTAATCAAGGCGTTGAAATCACAAAATTTTAATTTCAATGTACAGTCAAATATTATTTCATACTATTTAAGGTTTACTTTTCTCTTCATATGAAGTTTCAAAAATTAAATGCTGATTTTAAGGGACAAATTGATAATTGTAAGTCTCACAAAAAAATTCCACTCACATGTTCATTTTAGGAATGACTCTTATGACTAATTCTTGGCCAAATTACTCAATTATAACCTGGTTTGGGTCAGTAAACTGACCAAAACCAGGAATTAACTGAATAATTTGGCCAAGAATTAGAGTCATTCCTAATAATTTAATTTTTAAATAATTAAACAACTGTGGATGTAAAATTGTACTGCTTTTTATGAGTTCAAATTTGTTGCTCAATAATACATCCCAAGTAACAGAAGGGATTTGAAAACAAGGGGACGTAATAACTGATGTACCGATCTAGCAGCCATGATGTTTGTTTACATGAGGTAAGATCAATCTACTGTTTAAAGTTAAAGGTGCATTTATTAAATGTGGAATTTTCCATGTAATTCCATGGACTGGAAATGTGGGATTGCATAGATACAGATGAATCAGCTGGTTGTCAAGGGGATGTGTCCCCATATCCAAACCAGGTTATTATGTTTTATTCTGTGTTCCTTTTTGGAAATCAACCAATGAGAGACTAGAAAATAAACAAAATTAAATTATATTTTATTTAAATTATATTTTGTCTAATTAAACAAACCTTTGAGGAGAGGCATTGTTTTCTCTGTTTATCACATATGGCTGTATAACTCCCTTGATAACATCTTTCTATTAAAATATGACACATTTTAATAAAAATGGTATGATTACTCAGATGTTAGAAGCAGTATTCTGGAGGCTTACTTATATCATTTGTGAATAAGAATTAATTGATTTCTGTATAGTAACTAAATACATGGACGTACCTCATCTATGAAGCTTTTCAACATTCCATGCTGCTCTTCACCAGTGTTGTTGTCCCTGTAGGTATACATTTTACCAGTAAATAAAGACACATCATCAATTCGCAAGTGGTGAAATGTGATGTCCTTCCTCCATTTCTCAGCTCCAGAGGGATGATTATTCTGATTAGTTGGTAACCTTTAAATATAAAAATTTCAACTTTCAAATTAAACAGTTACAGTGTCTGTTACTATGTACAGATTTGTACGACATAAATAATCCAGTTTAGATGAAAATTTTATATAATGATTTATCATGACCATGCAAAGTGGTGGACCTGAAAAAAAAAAAAAAGAATATCACATTTCTGCCTTTGTTTCCAGAAATAGTTATCAATGTTACCGCAATGTACACAGATAGTTTTTGATGAGTGAAAAATGGTGAGACCATCATTAAAAATATGCTGGTTTCCCTCGAACTTGACCTGAAATTCTCAAGTTGTGTCGATAGTTAGGTAGGCAAAAGATTTTTATTTTTTGTACAGCAGCTTTGAAAATACATGCTGGGATTTGAAATAATTATACCTTAATATTAAAAAGAAAGTACAAAAGAAAAACATTTGAGAACAGAATGCCATTTAAAAGACTTCATTACTCACCTAATAACATCTTTTGCATATTTTGGATTTGCAAGGAAAAGTTTTAAGATTTCCGATGGCTTCAGACTCCAAAAAGTGGTACCATCATTGGCTTCATTCTGCAACAATACCGGTATTTTTTTTATGCAAAACAGAAACAGGAAATATAAGATTTTCACTCATCTAGCTGACTTAGCCACATACCTCCTGTACTAAATTCCTCCAATTCAAATCTCCAAACCTTGTTTCCTCCAGATCATGCATTGTTGGTATTTCTTTCACTCCAGCCTCTTTTAAAATGTAAATTACAAATTTCACAACTTCATTGCTCTGAAAGGAAAGCAATAAAAAAAGATATGAACATTTACATCTTAGATGCAATGTTTGTGATTTTAATAGCACAATAAATAATCAGTAGTCATGTACAAAATACCGTATAATCCCTATTAACCGCCCCTGCCCCTATAAGCACCCCTTAGGTCTTCTTTGATTGTCAGAAAATAAGAGCCCCCTAGCTGTACTGTCATTAAAATCATTTAGAATTGAATCAAAAGTCTTCCAAAATTTGAAAAAAAATGAAAAATGAAACTTGTTTATTATCCAGTTTCTCGGTGGAAAATAATTTATTTAGCATAGTTTGGGGGTATGACAGTTTAAAATAAAGTTTTTCATCTTGTTTACCTACAAATTAAGCCCTGAAACACCTTATTTGACCAAGCTAAAGTTGTAAAACATCAATAAAAGAATTTATTTCTCAAGTTTCAGAAATCTGTAGGCATCTTTCATTTACTAGATCTTGACCTTAAGCATAAATAATATTCTGAAATAATATTTTAATTTGAAAATAACTTTTTTTATTTCATGAGATTCAAGCAAGTATGAAATAGTTGGAATTTGGCAAAAAACTGAAGATTAAATGAACTTTTTAAAGTGCATGAAAATGCATGATTGCGGGGAAACGGTAAATGTGTGATTTTGCGTTAGAAATAGGAAAAGGTAAAATGCGTTAAAATGTGTGACTGCGGGGAAGCGTGTTAATCCACGGGTAGAATATTACACGGATTTTCTAGATTGTCACTATATATGCCATACATTTATATTAAGTATAGTTGGACAAATTTCCACAGAAAAATTGTGAGTACGTACATAGCGTAAATTAATAGTAATACCACACAGAATAAAGATCAATGTACTTCTACAGTAAATAGGTTGCTAACAATTCCCATAGGTCAAAATAACAGCTGAGCAGAGTGTCTGACTCTGATTAATTTTATCTGATTGAGATCGGGATTCAATTGTGAAATTGTTTACATTTAGACCTACAAGTCTTGTAAGTTTAAACACTGCTAAACTTTTTAATTACTTTATGAATATCTGCATTATCACTTAGATGCATTAAGTCATTTTTACAGATTTTTCACAATACTGTTAAATTTTGGATTGAATTTTACATTGTGCGTAATGAAATTCAATATACAAAAACAAAAGATATCATGGTGTACATCTGATCAATCATGCTTTTGTAATCATAAACAGCTAGAATCTGAGATTCCTCTGACTGTAATCCTTGCTGACATTTGCACATGTCACGTACAAAATAAAAATCAGGAATAAGACAAGATTAGATTCAAATGAATCTCGGATTACTAGAAAATGTGCATTCTAAAATGAATAACATTTTTTTTTTAATATGAGCATTGATTAAGAAGTGTTTATTTAGGATACTTAACAATTCAAAATTTTATTACTTATGACCAGGTCTGGTAAAATCACTAGATGACCAGGCACAAAGTTTACAAGTCCCTGTTATGACTTACCACGGAATGTGTGGGGGAGTTCTTTAGCACATACAAAAGCATGTGCAACTTATTATTAAATGGAAAAAATGGATTATCATCCTGTGACTGTTCCTTCAAACCAGACTCTTTATCACCATGATCACCGTCTTGAGTGTCTTCGCCATCTGAACTGTCATCGCCATGTTCTTGACGAATGTCCTGATGTTCGTCGTCCGAAAAAGAATTTCCGTCAGGCGGTTCTACGTCGCGGTCTTCTTTCAGAAAAAGAGATGTTTTTATGTGTTTGCCTGTTGACAAGTGGCGTATGTAGTTGCTTTCTTTTGTGGATTTGAAGCCGCAGCTCTCGCAGGCGTACATCTTGTTTTCCCCGCGAAGCTGTCTAACGAGATTCTGTACCCGATCATAATTGTGATCGACAATCATAAAGTTTGTGTAGACGATGAGATCTTTTATTCGCAACTCTGATTAAATACGGTAAAAAAATTAATCTGATTTATATAGATTCGTTTTTAGGCAGATAATGTATTTGAAAGTACATTTTTACTCGAGAACATCAAGACTAGATCGGGCTCGGAAACACTGTATGTTTTTGTCTTACGTCATACTATGACGAGTTTTGACAGACGATAAGTAAAAATATCGAAGATCATCAAGATGCCGAAAGTGCCCCAGATCATTTATGTGAGTTGTAATATGTTGATTTTATATATAATACATTAAATGGCAAAATTGGGAATATACAGCTTACGTCATTTCTATCTGTGACAAAACATTCAGTGACATATATTTTTTCCATTACGAACTTGTGTCATTTTTCTCAAACCAGGAACAATGTTTATTTAGTCTTAATTAATTTTTGATTTGATTCTATTGCCTTCTATTGCATTTATTAATGATTTAGTGTTTGCACTATAGTTGATTAGATGACTAATATCAATGTTAATTGGAGGGATACACCCGTGTTGTTTTTACAAATTGGGCTATGTTTTGACAACAATTAAGGGATTGAGATGACATGTATGATCCAAAAATCAACTTATTGAATACATATTGTCTGAAGTTCACATGAGTTTTAGCTTATATCGACGATAATTTTAAGAATGCGAAAGATCATTGAAGACAAAGATTTTTTTCAGGAGATATTTGATTCTAGTTGGGGGGGGGGGGGGGGGGGTTAAACAATTGTCGAGTCAGGTCATGGCTAAACATGACAATATACATGCATTTCATTTCTAGGATGATAAGAGTGCACAAGTTTTATTCTTATTCTCAATGAAAACAGTTGAACAAATTTGCAAAGAAATACATATATTTATCAAACAGAAATAAAATATTTGCCCCTTAATGTAACAGGGGGTGGTAATCAAGAACACAAACACGCCTCTGTCAGGGTTCAGGTCTTATTTATTCGACACAGTGAGCACTTTATGTAATACAAATGTTATTATAGCCCTGAAATATAATAAAACAACAATATAATAGCACATCAAATCAATCATTAATCATCTATACATGTAGTTTTCATAGTAACATATTCATAATAAATTGTGCCATTGTCATTGTCTATCACTAAATGTTTTGATCGTAACAGATAGAAATTACGTAAGCTGTATATTTTCAATTTTGCCAGTTAATGGTCTGAAGTCTTAATGAGAAATGTTTTAAATGCTAAATTATTTGTTCTTGTGTACATGTAACAATCTCTCTAACATGTGTTTTAAAAGGACTCTCAAGAAACCTATGTCAGCGAAACAGAGGACATGTCGCAAGTCAGCCAGGATTTGTTTGGCGACAATAATGCCATAAATGGACAACAAGGTTTAATCCCCCAATCAGAAAAGCTACTGAAAGATATCTGTGAGCTTATTAATCATGTTAATTTATGCAAAAAGATAATAGTTGTACCCACTGAATGATCCAATAATTTTTCTGATGCATGCCATATTTTTTAAAAATATTTTCCTTGCCATTTCATTATCATTAGTGATAAGGACTAAATTAATTTTAAATTTTACAATCAAATGTTACTTCAGTCAATTTTTTACAACATTCATGATGCTTTGCTCTATGGTTATGAGTAGATTGACTGATTATGATTTGAACACAAAGTGATTACATTCACTGATTAAGTCAGTCATAATTAAATTATATAGATCAGAATATTTGTATGATATAAATTGTTGTAGTAAAAGAACTTAAACATCTCAGAGAGAGTATAGATGAACTAAAGAAAACTTCCACAAGACTGCCAGACACCAAAGATGCACAATTTAGGGTAGAAGACCAGAGATTTCATGTAAGTTTAATACAAGCACTAAAAATGTTAAATTGTGTTAAATTGAACTTGGCAACTGCCTGTAATGTCTTGCAACCCTGTGTATGTATTTGCAATGTCATCAAGTTTTAACGTGTATATGTTAAATTTTATAGAAAGCATATTTCCAATTCCTGAAGGGACAATTCGAACTGTGCATGTCCATGGCTAGATACCAAGAATGAGGATTTCAAGGTATATGTATATAAATTTAAATAAAAAAAAAAGCATTTTTAACATGGCGATATATATCAAAGATACGATTATTATTATCAATTGTTCAGAATTGTACATATAATCTGTATGACTTTTATGTGCAGAGAGAGGTGAAGCAGTATATTGGGGATCATAACCCACATAAATTCAAAGTTATGAGCAGCTACGCTTCTCACAAATTTACCCAGCTGCGGAACCAGCTGAGAAGGATGGTATGTGTAATGTAATACAATTATTTGCCTGAAATTGAATGTATATTACTACATGTACTATATTTTTTATCAAGTAAAACACTCTCATTATAAAGTGAAAGTAATTCAGTATCAGGGACAATTAAAACACATGTATACACTGAACCAAACTTCTAAGTGTTCACTTAACATTTTTGAAGTTTTAAAGAACAAATGGGAAGAATAAATAATTTCTTTAATTCTTGGTTAAAGAGTTATATTTAAGTTTGATGTTGCGTAAATTTCATGTAAGTATCTCCTCAGAATTTTAAACAAAGTGTGAAGAAAATGGTGTACCCTCAAAATGAAAATTCACACAAAAAAAATCTCGATTGAGTAAGACCCACTACTCGCTCTAATTACTACAAGTCAATCTTTATTGTTGGATACCATGTACCCCTGAATAGGAGATTGACCAATCTGCTGCCACACCTACATGTACTGCATAGATCCTTCCAAACCATTGAAATTGTGAGAAAAAAAGGGGGGGGGGGTTTGACATTTCTTTTAAAATCCCAAATGTGTTCAATGGGATTCATATCCGAGAATTTGACAGTTTATCGTTACACAAATGCCTTTTGGTCATTATCCTTGGGTTTTAGCACGTTAGCGCGCCGCTTTAAGGATAATTTAGACCTTTGAGCTGATATAACACTGTCTTAAGCACGGATTTCGTATCATATCCCTACGATTGAAATTATTTGTTTCCATGTTTCTAACATTTTTTCAGGACACTTAAACACTCTTTTAATCTGGTGTGACACGAAATTTTCTCATCAGAAGAAGATCAAGGTCACTTCCGGTGTGGTTAAATTTTGTCAAAAACTTTCAAATTGTGATAAATTAGTGATTAAAAATGATCACAGCCTATAGAAAAATGTGTTTAAATGGGTTTTGATACTGTTTGACAATTTTTAAAAGTAATATCAAGTACAATTAAGCACTAAAATAAAAGTGAGTGAAACGTGGCACAGAGATGGTCAAGATGGCAACATTCCAACGGCTCTATCTTCTATCTCAATGGTCATTTAACCAATGTTTTGTGTTTTTTACTGAAACCAGTTTTTAAAAATTGATAATGATCACAAAAAGATGCTTATTACACAAAACACACACCGCAAAGTACAAATTTATTCTTTTTAATCTTCGTCACGGAACACTGGTTTTCATCGGTGATATTGAATTTTCTCTCCACAATTGTTTAGAAGACTCATTTGTTGATATAATTTGAAAATATCATACCATTCTATAAAGTAGTTTTTAAATAAAGACATTTATTAAAGTGAACACTTAGAAGTTTTGTTAAGTGTATTTTAAAGAAAATTATATCCACTTTGCTTTAAACCTTTACTGTTTTTATTGTGTTTAAATAGGTGTATTTTCTTGTAAATATACATGCATAATTGTGGTTTAAAAAACATTCCTCATCTTATCAATTCTGCTTGAATTATTACAATAAAATTGTAAATAAATTAAAATCATTGATATAATTTTGTCAACTTTCTTTAAAAGAAAAGGTTGGCCTGCAATAATTAATGAATTTTAATTTTTTGACTTAGAATCTAAACATTATAATCTTATGAGCATTTTTGTCAGTGTTCTTTTCTTTTTTTTTTTTTACTATATAAATATATATGTATATATATATATATATGTAACAGGAGAGGGGAAAATACAGGGGACCAGACTGGGATTCATACCCGGGCCCCTGACACTCCAGTCAGGTGTTCTACCAGCTAAGCTAACTGGCCACTAGTGAACATATGATACCTGGCTGACCACCATTTATAGTCAAATATAGATATAAAATATGCAATAAGTATAATTTATTTACATAATTTTTTTTTAATTCTATATACTATTTGTAGCTGTTCCACTCCACAATGGATATCCAAGCACTCTCCCTAGAAGGCCTGTGCAACTATTTGTACAGGCCTTTCACTCCACCAGGAGAAAGTCCTGTAGATCAGAAGAGAATGAGGATGGCTGTTGCAATTGTAAGTCTCAATAATAAATAAATTGATATTGTATTAATAGATAAAATAACATTGTATAGGGATTGATTTTGACCTAAGTTAATCAATCTATTATGAGTTATTGAGATATTTTTACACTCCCTCTCCAAAGTTTTGGGAAATATGTGTCCAATGTCCATGCGTCTGCAGTTCATTCTTAATTTTCGTTGTAAATTTTCTCTTCAACTACTCATTGCTTATGCTGGGAATTTTAAATAGCACTCTTTGTTTAGGCATGCCAAATGGTGATATTTATTTTTTTATTTACTTATAAGATATTAAAATAAAAATTTTTACATTTCAGAGAGCATTCCTAGTGAGCAAAAAGTTCCAGGAGACCTGCAAGTTCTGGGTTGAGTTTAAAGGTAAGGGTGTATAATGAATTCACTTTGAATAATAAAGAAAAAAGTTAATTCCTGTTACATCAGTCAAAATGTTCAAATACAATTTGTGCTAAAAAAGTTAAAGATGAACTATATAATCTAAGATGAAGATTCATAAGAGCTTCTCTGTCAAATCAAATTTGTGTAGAGTTGTCATGAACTTTTCACACTTTTGATTTCTTTTCATAAACACTGGACCGATTTCAACCAAACATTCAACAAAGCATCTCTGTTTAAATGAAGTGTCGCACTCCCTTCCAAGGGGAAATGAATTAGAATTGGAGAAAAATTGATTTTATTCAGCTCTTAAAAATCATATCTTAATTCTTGAACTGTGCTTATATTTTAAATGTCGAAATATATTTAATTATTAATCTCTTCCGAAAACTTTTTTTGAAAAGGGATAAAATCTCTTCCAGAAACTTTTTTTGAAGAAGGATAAAGCCCAGATGAGTCATATCAATATGGAAGCAATGTCCTCGGGACCTAGTGTACAAATTAGGTCTTCCCCCTTTCTTGGAAGGGGGGGGGGGGCACTATAGGAGTTAAAATTATTACATGAGTAAATATAATATACTGAACACCATCATGCACAATTCATTTTTCTTTTTTTTTTCAGATTTCTATGACGCTATTCTGGGCGACGATCGCCAGAATATTTGGGATCTTCTCCAAGAGAAAGAGGAGAAGAGAATTAAGAGATATCGAGAGGTAAGACAGCTTGATTATTAGAACTTTATTATGACATTTTAAATGCAATAAGTATAACCCAAAAGCTCTATTTTCTTTTTTTTTCTTTCTAATTTCTAAATTAAGTAATAAATTTTTTTTCCTCCAAATTGTAGGAGCAGGAAAGAGAACAATAAAAAGAAATGTTAATTTAACCTGAAATAAAGAACTTGAAACCAATATTAACTTGTTATTTCAATATATTATCCATTCAAGGAAAGTTATTATAGACTGAAGTATGAGCAGAGCTGAGTTTGTGTATACTGTACATTGTATACTGTTCAAGAAAGAGCCATGCAACCACTACAAGGAAGACCTGCTTATTCATTAGCTAACAATTGCTACAGAAAAATATTTCAATCACCATGAAACTTTTTTGAAAGGCAGGAATGAAGAAGCATAATAATAAGAAGCACCAACAGTAATATTATACACGTATAATTCACATATAAAGTATAACATATGTAAAACATGTGTTTAACACACGTTTCACATGTAGAAATATACCATGTGTTGATTTTTACATATGTTTAACACATGTAAAACATATGTTTAACATGTGTAACAATAAACACCCTCTACACGTGTGCTCCTTTTATGTGTTTTACATGTGTAAAAAATATATGTTAAACCATGTTTAACATATGTTTAACACATGTGGACATTTTTCCTGTGTATATTTCATTATAAAAATTAAAAAATATTTCAAGAAATAATTTGAAGTCATCTATTAAGTCACAAAGTATAACAAAGTCCAAAACAATATTGATTGATAAAATATTAAATAAAATAAAAGTTTTGAGAAGAAAATAGTAAGACTTTTCTACCAATGCCTTTTAACTTTTATTAAAGGGTCATTAAAATTGGGTCCTATTAGGCAGGTTTTTGAAACATCAAAAAAAGATTTGAAAAAGTTTTGAAAATCCTTCTTTTATACATATATGTATGTATATTTACAGCTATTAAACGCCAGTGGGCATCAGAAGTTACAGCATTCTCTTCACAGTACGACGCCACTCGGTAACTTCATTTCAAGGCTGCCTAACAAACCTTAAAGTTATTCTGTTATTAAAATTACTTTTTGATAATTAAAAAAAAATTACATGTATTATTCTTATGTTTTAATGATCTTAAATAACGAAATATATTCTCTTATCGATTAGATACTCGGCTATACAGATTTTGGGAAGACCCAATGTTTATCCTCGCTATGGTGATATTCCGGGAACATGGACACAGGCAAGGGGACAGCAGAATGCTCATCAGTTTATACAGGTAAAACAATAGGTATAAGATACATGTATATTAATTAAATAAAGATTCAGATGTTATTGAGTTTGTTAATCAGAATAAAAAAACAGAGATAATCATGCATGTAGTATCAATGGGATATATTCTATGCTAAACACTTAAGTTCATAATTGATTTTGTAGCTCATTCTTAGATTCTATAAATTTATCTTAACATATCAAAGTAACAAAGTACTTTATTTGATATTCTTTTAAAAACATTTTTTGTACATCGTCAGGTCAAATTTGTAGAAAAGGTGTGGATCACTGAGGTTAATATATATGAAACATATCATGCTGGAGCTGTCACGAGAATATTGGCGAAGAACAAAGTAAACCAGTGGGTTGTAATTTTCAAGGTTTCGCATGCACATTTAATAAGAAAGTCTAGGATATTTTCGCCAAAACTACAAGTGAGTTTTTTAAACAAATATCTGTTCAATTATATTGATAAGTGCTATATATCTTTCGTTCCGAGGTTCCACTGATATACAGTGGTTTTAATTTTAATTCACTCTTTTATTAATCTGATCTCTGTCATAAAAAAGAAGAAAACTTTCTAAATATCATTTGATTTTTAACGTATGTTGTTGAGATAAACTTTCTGAGGAACTTAATCCTATATTCTTTTTAAAAAAATCTATGCCATATGTAGGGATAACGAACATTATTCAATATCGAAATCCATTAAACATCAGAAAAGAGGAGCAGAGCTAACATGGACTTCTTAAACATAAGAGGAGGAATCAGGTGCCATGGAGGAGTAAGAGAATCCCCCGCCAACCGGTCACATCCGCCGTGTACTTCTTGTCATGATCGAGAAATAACAGAACAACTGTCGACAATTCAGTTTATCAAAATAATGGCCTAACAATTAGTATGAATACATTCAATTAGCATTTGACTTTATTGTATTTAATGATAAGGTCAATGTACCGACTACAGAACTTACGAAATATGAAAATGTAAGAATCTGTGGTATGAAACTATGGAGATAATGAACAGTAATAAAAAAAACTCATAAATTAATCTTTTATATCAAGAAACCAAGATATATCGTGTGGACATACGAATGGAAATAACCATTGGAAATTAACAATTCGTCGTCGATATATCTAGACGTTTGAGAACACAATAGAGAAACACCGACATCTTCCCAAACAGAAAAAAACAGCCTATCGGATCATGCTAACAACTCATGTGTAAATCATGGTTTTGATATGATTTCGGTATAGGAAAATTTCACATGCAAATGAGCTAATGGATCATGGTTCTGAGATGATCTGTTAAACTAAACAGCTAGCAAGAAAACCATGATCCTGGTATGATCTGTTGTAGCTAACAACTGGTATTAAAACCATGATCCTGGTATGATCTGTTGAAGCTAACAACTGGTATTAAAACCATGATCCTGGTATGATCTGTTGAAGCTAACAACTCGTATTAAAACCATGATCCTGGTATGATCTGTTGTAGCTCACAACTCGTATTAAAACCATGATCCTGGTATGATCTGTTGTAGCTAACAACTGGTATTAAAACCATGATCCTGGAATGATCTGTTGAAGCTAACAACTGGTATTAAAACCATGATCCTGGTATGATCTGTTGAAGCTAACAACTGGTATTAAAACCATGATCCTGGAATGATCTGTTGAAGCTAACAACTGGTATTAAAACCATGATCCTGGTATGATCTGTTGTTGCTAACAACTGGTATTAAAACCATGATCCTGGTATGATCTGTTGAAGCTAACAACTGGTATTAAAACCATGATCCTGGAATGATCTGTTGAAGCTAACAACTGGTATTAAAACCATGATCCTGGTATGATCTGTTGTAGCTAACAACTGGTATTAAAACCATGATCCTGGTATGATCTGTTGAAGCTAACAACTCGTATTAAAACCATGATCCTGGTATGATCTGTTGTAGCTAACAACTGGTATTAAAACCATGATCCTGGTATGATCTGTTGAAGCTAACAACTCTTATTAAAACCATGATCCTGGTATGATCTGTTGTAGCTCACAACTCGTATTAAAACCATGATCCTGGAATGATCTGTTGTAGCTAACAACTGGTATTAAAACCATGATCCGGGTATGATCTGTTGTAGCTCACAACTGGTATTAAAACCATGATCCTGGTATGATCTGTTGTAGCTTACAACTCGTATTAAAACCATGATCCTGGTATGATCTGTTGTAGCTAACAACTCGTATCAAAATCATGATCTTGGTATGATCTGTTAAATTGAACAACTCATAGGAAAATTCGACTTCTTATACAATTTAACTAAACACTTTGATATTTGCAATAAAGTTCTCTTTAATATTTGATAAATAATTTCAGTTACCAAAAATAAAAAAAAAATATTTTACACATATGTCACATGAACCATGACGTCATATAAATATAATCCCAACAAATGATCTTCCTTAATAAGATGACAATTTAAATATAAAACATTATCCAAACTATTCACTGATTTTTATAGGAACAGAATCACAGAAATCCATTCTTCTTGAAGAATAATCCGGAACTCATTGATATCACTGCTTAGTATGATTCTGCAAAAGCATATAATTACAACATTTGTTCACTACAAAATCAGCGGAGTGGTGGATCTATTATTCAGAATCACAAACACTGAAAGGGCTTCCAATGAAGTAGTCTATCCTCTGATATAAGCTCTTTATATGTGTATATCAGCACCCTGAAAAGAAACGTAGAGAAAGTGGTATTAATTTATCGATCAACATATCATTATCTTTAGATCAACAAAATATGAAATATTTAAGTACTTTCCCCATTGCATTAGTGAAAAGAATTAGATTAATCACCAAAAGATTACTATTGTTGAAATGTAATATTATTTACATACACAAATTTTGTCTTCACCAAAGGCGGGTCTTTTGAATTTGGTAATTTGAATGCAACTCAGATGTTAATCATGAAAATGGAAATGTCGGTAGCTGCAAAAGAATTTCATTTTTATAAATAAACATTTATATAACGATTAACATGTATGCACAACAAATATTTGAATCAAGGAGGTCAATTTGATGCTTAAGTTAAGTTTTCAATTCAAATCCATGTAAAGCTTTGCCATGTCTCTTCTACACATTTACAAAGAAAAAATAAATCATGCACTTGCTGGTAGAAACTAGAAAATGAAAAAAAAGGTCAATGATAAAATTAATGAATTATACTCACCGAGTATAGATCTAGAGTTAATAGTCCAGCACTTATTTTTATTGCTTATATGATGCAAAGGCTTTTCTTTTAAATCGGCAACAAGAAAACGCGCACATCTTATTTATCAGAATTCAAATTGTAACCTAGATCAGCTGCAAACCACTGTACTACAGCGGTCTGCCCAGCAGGAGAATTGCATAACAAGGTTACTATGACTCTGAAACTGACCAGTGATCCAATCCTAATCTAATGCCTCAAAGTTAGATTGGGAGTGGATCGCAAATACTACATGAAGAGAAAGAGTTTTAATAAAATCTTGGCTGCGTTATTTAAAACAAATACATGTGTGCTAATTTAAATATGAATTATTGTATTTGTTTGTCATTTCATTCAACTTAAAAAAAATATTGTTTTTGTAACTATACCTGTACATGCTGTGTGCATTTTCCCAGCAGGCATTTCAACGTTGAATCAACGTTGCACTTCAACGTTGAATCAACGTTGAATTTTGGTTGCATATGAAAGTTGAGGCAACGTTGAGACATAACGTTGTTTCAACGTCAATTTTCAACGTTGAATAAACGTTGAAAATGGGTTGAATTTTTGGTTGATTTATGGTTGATTTTTGGTTGCAAATGAAAGTTGAGGCAACGTTGAAGCTTCAACGTTGTTTCAACGTCAAATATCAACATTGAACAAAAGTGAACATTGGTTGAAATTAGGTTGAGATTTGGTTGAAATTTTTTCGGATGTACTTTGAAACATTGATATTTGGTTGAAATTACGTTGAATTCATATTACATTTTGCTTTATAAACAAATACATTTCAAATTCTAATAAAAAAATTTATTCAAGTTGCGTAATATTTATATAGGTTGTAATCAAGTATTATGATTGTGAGAGAATTAATTTTACATGTATTTTTAAGACAAACACAAATTCGGATTCAATCACTGAATCTCAAAAATCACTGCTTGACAAAATTTATATTCCTTGGGAAAAGTGGGTCACAATAATCACATCCAGGTCCTTCGAAGTACGCATATGCCTTACACTTCTAAGTTCCACAAAGTGGCGGATCCATTGATTTTAATCACGCATAGAGTTAAGTACCACGAATGAAAGAAATGAACAGGAGAATCCACCCTCTAAAGCAAAAGCCTATTGATAAAAGAAATAAAGATGTTAAAGCCATTTGTTCGATAAAATGTACGTACACATGTAACACGTTATATCAAATGATAAAAATAAATATACATGAATGATTTAAAAAAATCAGACAAAGGAATATATTCCGGTACTTGGATTTAATTAACATGATTAAAAGAATTAATGTTGACTTTATGTTAAAATTCGTATGTGTATGCTTATAAATAATTATTACTAAAAGAAAAATGTTATAGACATACATATACATAGTGTACTTACAAAATGTTGCATTCCTTTGTATAATTTTCACGGGAGAAGAATCTGATTCAATCAAGGCTGACTATACAATCAATTCCCTGCATAACTGGTTGATTGAACCTTACAGCGAACTACAATTAGTTAAATTGTATAAAATATTAGTTACTGTATACTAGCTTATATTTCATAACCAAATGAATATCAACAAAACACATAACAGGAACCAAGGATGTGCATTTCACGCAGATTTCAAATATACTTATAAAACAAGAATTAAATGATGAACAGATACTAAAAAACTGAATTTCTTAAATTCATGAAAAGGAAATAATACTTACTGAGCAAAAGTTGATATTCCATCCTTAATCCTTGTGTATATAGCTTCAAAAACACATGAAATATGAACAGCAAAGAAACGCGCACTTCTTTTCCATCAGTTGAATTCAAATTTTGACCTAGATAAGCTGCAAACAGCTTTTCTCTGCCAGCAAGAATATTGCATAACAAGGTTATCCTGACACTGAAACTGACCAGCTAAGCGAGAGGCACTCCTTATCTGATATCTTGAAGGTTTTTGGGGAGTGGATCTTAAGTAATGCAACTTGACCGGGGTTAATTGTCAGTGTGAAAATTCTTATGTGTTTATTTGAATTTTTTTTATATTTTGTGAAAAGAAAGATTATAGAATTAATACACACTGAAAACAAAATCTAATAAAATAAGCTTTAAGACTTCTTAGATTCGCTCTGTATATGTATAATCTGTGCAAGAGTATACGGCACGGATCCATATGAGTCTTACTTTAAGAACATTAATTCTGAATAATTATTTTTATTAATTCTATAGTAACATGGAATTACAGTGAGATGTTGGATAAAGATGTTAAATTATTTATTAACAGCTTATATTTGACATATTTTATAGATATATAAAAAAAAAATAGCATTCACAATTTATTGAAAAAAAACTTTTTTTGAAACATAATTATAATGAAGTGTTAAATGTATATGCCATGCTTCATATAAACTCATATTTAAAATCTTATAATGGTACTAGCTATTGGCACAACTCTTTTGAGTAAATCAATTTATAATGCATGCGTTTCATTTATTAAGTATAATTATTATATATATAAAATTTTCTAACAATGCATGCAGCTTTGTGTATATTGCGAAAAATCGCATGGATTAGAGTTAAATTAGACACCTTTATATTTTGAACTTAAAAACTAAAGTGCTCAATATTCGTTACCCCTTAATTGTTTCAACGTTAAATTTTCCTAACTTTCCTAAAGTTGAAAATATGTTGCATCTTGCACGTTGTTTCAACGTTGAAATCAAGTCAGTCAACTTTGCATTTTTAAACCTTGTTTTAACTCTACAATATCAGAAAATACTCAACGTTGAAAACATGTTGAATTTTCAACGTTGTTTCAACGTTGAAATATCGACGAACATTCAACGTTGAAAATATGTTGCAGCCTCAACGTTGTTTCAACGTTGAAATATCGAAGAACATTTAACGTTGAAAATATGTTGCAGCTTCAACGTTGTTTCAACGTTGAAATATCGACGAACATTCAACGTTGAAAATATGTTGCAGCCTCAACGTTGTTTCAACGTTGAAATATCGACGAACATTCAACGTTGAAAATATGATGCAGCTTCAACGTTGTTTCAACGTTGAAAAAAGGTTGAGGATTCAACGTTGAAACCTCAACGTTGAAACAACGTTGAAATATAGTTGATCAACGTTGCAACCTATATTCCACCTCCTTTCAACGTTGAAACAACGTTGCGTGCCTGCTGGGTTAATTATTTAAACTTAATTTTCCTGCTCTCTTTTAAATAAGACTTTTATTGATGTATGCATGTTGTTTGATTCTCCAAGCTAGAGTGAATTTAAAGCTTGCATTTTCACCTATCATAGATGACAAAGTTAACAAACCATATCAGGATCATACAGCCAATTCTGACAAAGTTAACAAATCATATAAAACTCATGATTCTCAACAGAGAAATTAACAGATCATGTTTAACTCGTATGGAGTTTAAAGACAAAGTTAAGAAACCATATCAAAATCACAAACTTTTAGCAGTTAAAGTTAACGAATCATTTCAAACTCATGTTCATTTGTTTTCTAAGTTAATGGCACATGTCAGAATCGCAAGAAAATCATAGCAGACTCATTCCCCAGAAACAAACCACACAAGGATTATACTTCCTTATTTGTCACCTATGATTTCAGTATGATCCATTAAATGGATCATGTCTAAATCATAGTTCAAAATCATGAATTTGTGAGTTTGATATGATTTGTATGTGATTTTGGCATGATTTGTTAAGAAAAGTTTTTGTTTGGGTTACGAACGAACGTAACTCGCCCTAACTTTCCGTATCTCGATAGTTTTCTCGGGACCAGTGATTGCACCCATATAAAGTTTAAAATCAGAAGAAATAAGTATATGTGTAAAATAGAACGGATAGTGTTTTAACCACTTTGTACTTGATAATTGCTCATGTCAAATTAATTGTAATCACTTACAATGTTTTAAAAAAGCGAACATATAGAAGAAAATACACCATACATTGTAATACTTTAGACGGATTAGGAAACACTTCTGTCATGCGCCAGAGATTAAACGTTTACAAACTACTCGTAGTGTGCGCCTTGTTCATATGGGGAAAGGTTACTTTTTACAGCTTGTAAAAAAAATTCGTGCAATCTAGTAAATAGGTATTGCGCTTTCTAAATTGTTTTGTATTGAGAGAGAGAGAGAGAGAGAGAGAGAAATTCTTTTTTAAATTTATTAAAATATCAATTCAAAGAAATAAACGAGCATTCATGGTAGACAGTATCTTCTTAGATGATGTACTAAATGGCGATCTTAACTAAATTATCTTGGGCTGTTTTTAATTTATTTATGTAACAGGCATGAACCAAGCAATCTCAGTTGGGAGGGGGCACAACCAAACTTTTTTTATTTTGGAATCACTACCAAACAATTCCTTGGGAGGATTTTTTATTGAGGTGGCACAAGTAAACAGTAGTTACGTTTTCTATTATATTACTTTGTTTATTTATCGACTTCATTATGGTGAGGGGGGGGGGGGGGCTTATTCCCACCCCCACAAACCCGATACCAAAAACGAACGTGTGTACATTATGTATATCTGTTTATATATGTGGATTATAAAAAAGGCCTAAAATGTGTATTTATTTAGGGTGGCGCATTTTTCTTAGTAAAGTTCTGTTCTTTGTCTTCAAGTTATGCTCCACTATGTCATTATTTTTTTATTCTGCATTAATTATCAAAATATAAAATTCTAAGATAACTTTATACTTTTGACCGAAGGTCCAAAATACATATAAAAACTATAACCGAAATTATAACTTGCTTCATTTGTAAGGAAAAATATATACCCGGGTATTCACCATCCTGTTGTAAAAGAAAAAAGATTGATTCTAGAATACCAACAAAAGGATACCGGACTTTTAAAAGTGTGAATACTATGAAAACGTAGTTGTCATAGTTTCATGGCATCCTTCAAAAGTACGTGCACACATATGCTTATCACAATTGCTTGTAGACCAGACTACCTCCCCATACCCACGCACAATATACATATATACAGGGTCCCAAAATATTCACATTTGTCTTCTTTCATAAATTAATCGTCTAGTACATATTTACAATGTATTTCATATGACCAATCCAAAAAAGTATATAGAATTCATTTTTTTTTTTAAAAAATCATGCCTGTAGTATCTTAAATCACCTATAACTTTTAAACTGCAGGTATCAATTTTGTATGTTGTAAATTGTAAATGTTATTAATGAAAGAAAGCCAAAAATATCTTTGGACCCAGATTTATATATATTCCAGGGGTTGGGGGAGGGGGGCTCTCATATATCTCAAATTATGTCAAAAACACAATTCACTTAACTTCCATTTTTGCACCGACCCCCTCCCCCCCCCCCCCCCTGAAAGTTGGGATATTAATTTCGATCTGTCCATTCTTATAATTAATTCTGTCCGTCTGTAACACTTTTGTTTCAAACAATATCTCGAGAAGACTTTCAGCTTTTACAGTAAAATTAAAAAAATAGATTTGGGTCTGGGATTTTAAGGGGGGGGGGGGGAGAGTCCAGTCCACTAGCACCCGTGAGAATTATATGAAGATTTTTAAGATGCATGTTTGTATGAAGAAGCTTTACCAACCGACAAATTAAGAACGGGCAACCCCCTAGATTTATACTATAATGGCTATAATACCTGTGTATTAAAGCCATACTAATTTTATTATTCGCAACATATAGTATTTTGAACAAGAATTTCTTTAAAGTTTTGGGGTTTTTGAAATTTAGTCTCAGACCATAACTCTTTATTGTCCCCACCGCCGTTCGTAAAGTAACCCCCCCCCCCCTTTCGACCCTTACTAGATCCGCACATACTATAATAATTTATTTCATGCCACAGAATGACATTTTCTAAATTTTCCTTTCATTTCCCTTCGCTCGTTTAAATGTCCATTGACATGTTTTATAGTGTCACGGTAGCCACTTCGCCAAGACCTCGCTTTGAGGTATCTTGTGGGGATTTTATCTATCGAAATCCCAATAAAATTGAAGAATTCAATAATGCAACCGTGAATACAATAAACTATAATGACTGATCCCAGTTTTTGGTAACGTTCGTTCGTAACGCAGCTATGTTAAGGACGTCCATAGGAAATGTGCCTTAAAATATTGCGAGAAAATCAATATAATATTGATTTCTTATTTTATAAGCATGAGTTTTAATTTAGTGGGAATTTATTGTACTAATGCATATGTATGTATGGGGTCACAACCGAGTTGGCCCAAGCGACCTAACGTACACCAGCTGTTTGCACGTGACATGGTTAAAATTAGAAAAAAAATTATACGGACATAAAGATTATAAAAGTTCAACGATATACGGATAATTTTTCAGCAAGAAGTTGATTGTGTTTTCTTAAAGACAAATTTCTTAACCCGAAAAGTGCTGGGAGCAACTTCCCCAAGCCCAGGAATTATATCAAAAATAGCCGTCTTTTGATAAACTCGTGCATGTGCACTATACACATTGAAACAATGTAAAATTACCCAAAAAATCATCCGCCCACAAGTTGCTCCCAGCACTTTTCAAAACAGTAGGTAAAATAGCTACATGTTTTCAAAGTTTCATATTTTATAGGTAAATATTTACATTCAGTGTAATTTTCTTTATAAATTCCATTAGAAATTTATCCACGACGTTCAAATTTCTATAACACACGCGAAACCTAGTCACCGCGCATTAGAATACACAGTAGGAACTACATGCTTTTTCAAAATTTAGGAACAACAAAATGAATATTGTTTTGACTCAATTTCATTTTAAAAAAACTACCCTTTTAAAATTAACATAAAATACAACAAATGTGCATTACAAATTAATTTGTCATTTTTTTCCTCGCAATGTTTATTTGCGTTATTTAACTTTCCAACGTCACAAACGGCTTTGCAACGTCACGAACGGCTATTACGTTAATTAAGCACACCAATACCGAAGGGCGCTAAATTCACATTAAATATGAACAAAATAAAGAAATATAGTAAAGGAAAATTAGAGAATGTAAATATAAGCATTGAATTCATATTTTGGGATGTCTTCGGTCCTATAACACAACTGGCCGTGCCGACAAATTGAATACCGCGTTAGCGCGGTATGATAATTTGTCGGCACGGCCAGTTGTGTTATAGGACCGAAGACATCCCAAAATATGAATTCAATGCTTAAGAGGATATCGTTGAACTTTTGAGATTTTCGAGGGGTTGTGCCTGTGATTGTAGTGCGTTTGTGTATAAAAATGCACGAGTGCGGCTTCATAAGAGGTCTATTCTTTTCAATTTAATAAAACTGTGAAATGTTTATTAATGCATTCAAAAATATGACTTATTTATAGTCAGATCACACTTATTTATATACAATTTCACATCTACAAGATTCAATAATAGCTTGATCTGCGTCTCAAGTGCAGAGAAACTGCGTGTCAAACTAGTCTATGACGTCATATTTGTCAGTACAGCGAGATCAATTTTGGTTTGATATTACATCCAAGATAAGTTACACATTAATTTATGTCTACAATTATAAGGTGAAATCACCGTTTGTAAAAGTGTATGAAAAAGAAAATTATTATTTATTAGCCGAGATTCATTTGTGCAGTTTCACCGTGACGTCATAATCGATTTTCCGAAGCTCTGCATAGACTGATATGCATCTGGCAGCCCTTAACCTAGTTGCGAAGATATCGGTGTTTCTCTTATAAGTGTTTTATTCTTTTCACGTAAAAGATTTTGAAAAAATTCTGCTTCATGAAAAAATAGGTCTGTCGATGACGGGCGCAATTGGTACCCATGGGAATTCCAATAGATTGTCGGAAGACCTGGTCTCCAAAAATCACATAGATATTGTCAGTCAGAAACTCAAGCATTTTTTGATGTCAGCTTTAGCGTACATGTGCGTAAAATCAGAGTTTTTACGAGGGTTGTTCGAAAAGTTCGTGGACGATGTCCATCTTCGTTTAATTACTCACTGGAAATTTAAAACAAGCACATTATAATATGTAAAAATATTTGTTGTGTTGATGAGGGTTTCATTCCATTCGATATAACACAAATAAATTTACTTCATTTTAAAACCAACATGTTTTGTACCCGCGGAGCACACAAAACGCCAATGTAGCGTCAACATATAGCGTCGAGAATTTATAATAGATACTATACCTATACATTTTTCACAGAATATTCCAATGCCCATTCATTAAATTCTTTTTCTAATACTTGACATTTATTTTTTAAGAATTGATCTCATTGTATAATTTCCTTTGATATTTGGTTTTAATTTCTTTTAGTACTTAACTCTGCTTTCACAAGATAAACAACTCTGAAGCGCCTTTGTCTTTCATCTACGTTTCAAATTTTAAAGTTTTATTAAGATGTCTACGGTAAAACCGTTTCTTCACAGGTCATCCTCATCCGATACAGAGTCTCTGTCGCTCAAATATTGCCTCTACTATTTGTACACACATGCACAACTCGCTTATGTATTTCCTTGATTCCTTCAACATTTTCAGAATTTTTTCAGGATTTTACCTGAGAAAAACACAAAATTGCTTCGGTATCTGCTGCCCCGTAAGTTCTAAAACGTCATCGTTTTTGTCGTCTTCAATAAGGACTACTTATCTTCTAAAGTTGATTTCTTTTCCACAAAGCAAAATATAAAACCATAATGTGGTACACGTATCGATGTAACAATTCTTAATTTGAATTTTTAGGTAGTTTTTCGTTTTTCCTCCATTTTTCAGAGAATATTACTATAGACATTATTTATTGTATTGTTTGTAACTGACTAAATTTTGACCTGCTCCGCGATCCGATTTTTGCATTTTTAAAATGTTGATAAGATTTTAATCAATCGTAATATTTTGTCATAATTAATATATACATGTATCACTTGAATTTATTGTTAAAATATTTCTAACAAATTTGGATAACATATGACGTCAAATTAAAAAGATATGACAGCTGTCTACGAACTTTTCGAACTACCCTCGTATTTATCAATGTATAACAAACAGTATTATTTCTTATTCTTAACATTCTACACATGCCTTGTTAGAAGCAATTGGTGTATAGATGATGGAATTAAAAGCTTTTAATGAATTTTTATTCTGTTCAGAAAGTAAATTTTCCTGTAAACGAGCTACGAATCGAAGTTGATTGTTCCGTGTCCCGTTCATGGGTTGAGATTGACGCAGTTGAAATTGTTGGAGGTATTGTTTTAATCAAAATATCATGTTTTAAAGTAAAGCCTGCTGAACTCCATTCTGATATTAAATATGATACAAAGTTAATTATGTACAATATGGAACGTAAAGAGAATTTGTATTGATTTGTATTGTATAAGTCATATATTTTTCAGAATGAAATGAAATTCTACAGATAATTGTTTTATTCACCAGAGTTAAATCACATCTATATTTTATGTTCTTAACCTTTCTCTTCTTTTTTGCACGAACAAATTAAAGGTGACTGTCCAAAACAATTTCAAAAACTCTGGGATGCTTGTTATCTGATTCAAAAAGATAAAGTGTCAGCTGACACAGCATTTGTAAGTCGTATAAGTATAGCAATTATTAAAGTAAAAGGTGGAGGTAAAAGGGCATAAACTACAATAACTGTTGCTAAGAATTATCAATCTGCTTCTCTGAATATCTTTAAGGCTAATTGTTTAGACACAGGTGGATATGTGGCAAACTTCGAAACTCTTGAAGAGGCTTTGCAAATGAAAGAGATTCTAAACAAAATGAATACAGGTATGACATATTATACCCCCTTAGTACCATTTGTAATTATTAGGAATGTCAACGAGTACCCGTTTAACTGGAACTCAATCGAAATTCGGAGTATCGAAAACTAAAAATATGGTACTCGCTCACTCGGATGTACATTATTTTCTTATATTTCAATTCTTATTTTATTAAAAACCTATCAAAAATAACTTAAAATGTGCGTACGATAGTTGGTCTGTCGTCATCCACACCTGCAAAACGCCCGTTTTCGACTGTGGTTGTGTTTTTTTGTTCTAACCTGTCATGGTCCTTAATTTTGGATGACTTTAATGATTTTTTTTAGTGAACATTGTTTAAGTTTACTATATAAACTTGAACACAGTTTAACAAAAGTTTGAAAGTCTGTTTTCTTTCACTTATATGTTTAACGTATACGGGAGTGACAATCAGCATATGAAATAAAATCAGACTAGGTTAGCGATCCAAACAACGCCCGTCTCTTCTTTACTTAGCTCTTATTTTGTATTTTGTTTTATGGACATTTGATAATGAATACTGTTCGTTATCTCCTTATATTTCATTTCTTTCGTCTAATACTCAAATTTGCACAAGAGATCGTCCCCCTTTTGCGTTGATATAAACTGTTATTCAGTTGTAAGATTGAGTGTTAAAATTGTGTCTATTGTCTTGATTTGATAAAAAAAAAATTAATTCCAAAAAATCTCATTTCCATTGGATTCGATATTTATTTACACTAATAAACGTGAAAAAAATAAACAGCTTTGGGAAGTAACATAGGTGAATGTTGCTCAAGAACATACTTTAATTTACATTTTTAACGAGTTTCTTGATACTCGATTGGAAAATACGTCCGAGTAACCGATTATCAAATATCTACCGATTTGACATCTTAGTAATTATGTATGTATTTGCTTTAAAATAAAATAATTAAGTATAATCATGATCTTTTTTTATTAATAATAAATTCTACTTTGAAAAAATTGCTTTATATCGGATTCTAATGGACAGGGATACACTTCTACGTGGGGGGAAGAAACATCAACAGGCGAAAACCCGTTGGGGACTGGAGATGGATCAAGCACGGACAAATGACTGACATGAAATATCACGCCTTTGGAGCCGGGGAACCTAATGGAGTGGACCGCTCTCCCCAAGACTACATGTTCTTTTATGCAGGAGAGCGGTACACGTTCCACAATGTCTTTTGTGATAATGGTACATATCTTGGTGGCTATATTTGCGAAGCTTGAAAATTGTTCGTGTCTTTAAAATGTTGTTCCTTTAAAACATTGCGTTAGTTTTTTTTCATTATTTATTTTAAAAAGGAAAGGATTAGATATGCAGGGCGGTACATATTGTCGTCCTAAACATATTGTTGCTGGTTACAGTTACTGCACATATTTCCGTTCATCATTTCATATTATATAAAACTACAAAATTATGTAAGTGCAGTATGTGCCTACAAAATTCACATATTGTTGCCCTGCTCTTATGCTTACAGTCGAGGTTATGTTGAAGGTAATGGGGATCATGAAGACATCAACAATTGCATTCATTTTTAATTACCTTGTAATTTTTCCCCAAATTCTTCTGTCTATAAAATGACCTTGTTTGCAAATACAATCTATCACAGGGTAGAATTTTACCTGCACCAATTATTGTATGCTTAATAGCTAGATTATCTTATGTATACAATTGCTCGGTATGTATTTCAATTTTGGAGAAGAATTATATGGGCTATGTCTGATGTCCAATCCAATTATGCATAGGCGTCGGAACCGTGGGAGGAGGGGGGCTAGGGTGGGGTGGGGTACTTAGCCCCCTTTTTTTCCAAAAATAGACATTATATAGGCATTGAAAATTGGGATTTACCTCTTTTTGCTGGTTAAGTCCCCCCCCCACTTTTGATTAGCCCCCCTTCCACATTCAATTTGCTTCCGACAACCATGTTATGTAAAAATATTGATAAAAATAAAAAAAATAATTATGATGCCCTAAACTTTATTATTTAACAGTTTTAGAAGTGTCGCCGGGAAACTCAGTTTGCGACCGTTAAATCATAATCAACGGAACCAATTACCAATGAGGAGATATTTTTCCCTAATTCAATAGCCAGAATATAACTTCATTTTTGACATACACACATTTACGAAGGGTTTAAAGGCAGAGATTTTAAGCACCGCCTTCAAAAATACCTGGTCTCGGTAGCCCTGTCAGTCAAGTGCGTGAAGGACCATCATTGGATGCTGGAACTTGATTGACAGTTACTTACTAGTCCTTGTGTATACCCTGTACACCTTGATTGGGACTCATGGTCACCTTTTAATTAACTTTTTATCCTTTGATGTTTACTGAACATGGTATCCAGAATTACTGTATAACTATGAATTTTATAGATTGATAATATATGAATTAAATATACCTTAAGTATTTGAAAAGATAAAAATATGATATGCATTTTTAAAGCCAAAACATTAAACTTTAGTACAAACACTTTTTTCAAATGAAATTTCGATAATATTTTTAATATGTTTAATGGTAAAGTTGAAATGTTATTGATAAAGTTTAGAGCAGCATTGTGTAAAGTAACTAAACTAAAAAATGTTTCTAATCATGGGTCACTTACATTTTCCTTTTTATTCAAATAAATTAACAAGCAAGTTTCATGGTGACCAAGCCTTATCATGGCTAAAATAGACTTATATACTGCAGATATTTTGTGTTAAATGTAATTCACACGGCCCTCATTTCATTTAATTAATAGATGGGATCCTGGGGATGAATGCATTAAGTCTAATTTAAGTCTAATTTGGAGTAATTGTTTTCTGGAAATTAACACATACAATAACATTTAAAACAATCCTTGTTTTAATATTTGAATTCATAGTATGATATCATAGTATCTTTTAAAATAGGTATGAGTGTTTTTAAACAGTAAAATATAAATCAATAAAAAATTGAAAAAAAACCGTTTTTACTTCTAATTTTGAAATTGTCTCAAAATCCCCAACGAAGGTAAAGTTTGACACCTGGGGTATTTCGCTGTGTATTAAATCACTTCCTGTGTATAGGGAATGGGGACAGATGACCACAGGTAGACAGCTAGCCCCCAAGGCATTCACACCTGTACAAAATAAGCCCCTCCCTCACCTGTATTTTACCACCCGGTAAAAAATTTCTGACTTTAAATGATGTAGGATTTGTAACCCTCTGCACATTTCTCGCGAGTATTTTTGATAACACTAGAGTACGTATCTCATGCATTGAGTCCTGGTCTTAGGATGTTTATACAAAAGCAAAGCTTACGAGGACAATTTAGCAGTTTGTACGAATTAAGCGTTGAAATTTTTCAAATTACGATGAATGAAATACTTGCCATAACAACTTTTGTGCAAGAACTAACGAAGACAATTTTGATGAACATTCAGTAAACAAGTGGTAGAATATTACATATTTTTGTGTGTGTGTTTTTATTTAAGATTTGAACAAACTTGAATACTTGAATCTACACTAACAAAGACGCCTGTATATCTATTTGACTAACTATGGTATTTTACCCTTTAAGTCTGTGCCCCCCCACCCCCCGCCGTAATAATTGGAACTTAAATTAGAACTACATGAGGATGCTTCCATGTAAATATGATTAATCATAGCTTAGCTGTGTCAGTGAAATTTTTATACCCGCACTTTCGAAAGAAAGTTCGGGTATATTGTTGTTACTCATGTCCGTCCGTCGGCCTATCACACTTTTCTTCCCTGAACTCCTCCTAAATTTTACACAGTAGCCTAATCATCTTTTGGGAGATGGTTTGTTGTGTCATGTAGATGTGTAGTAAGGTTTCGGAATTTTGATTTTACCCCGGGGGGTCAAATGGGGGTCGAAAAATGATGTTTTTTTATGCAAAATGCCCCGTTTTCCCTGAACTCCTCCTACATTTTACACATTAGCCTAATCATCTTTTGGGAGATGGTTGGTGGTGTCATGTAGATGTGCAGTAAGGTTTCGGAATTTTTTATTTTGCCTGGGGGTCAAATGGGGGTTGAAAAATAACGTTTTTTATGCAAAAGCTCCATCTTCCCTGAACTCCACCTACGTTTAACACAGTAGCCTAATCATCTTTTGGGAGATGGTTGGTGGTGTGATGTAGATGTGCAGTAAGGTTTCGGAATTATGATTTTGCCCCGGGGGGTCAAATGGGGGTCGAAAAATGATTTTTTTTAATGCAAAAAGCCCCGTTATTCCCTGAACTCCTACATTTTCACAGTAGCCTAATCATCTTTTGGGAGATAGTTGGTGGTGTCATGTAGATGTGCAGTAACGTTTTGGAGTGTTGATTTTGCCCCGGGGTCAAATTGGGGTCGAAATACGACGTTTTTTATACTAAAAGCCCCGTGTTCCCTGAACTCCTCATACATTTTACTCAGTAGCCTAATCATCTTTTGGGAGATGGGTGGTGGTGTCATGTAGATGTGCAGTAAGGTTTCAGAATTATGATTTTGCCCCGGGGGGTCAAATGGGGGTCAAAAAATGATGTTTTTTTTATTCAAAAAGCCCCATCTTCCAACAACTCCTTCTTCATTCTACACAGAAGCCTAATCATCTTTAAGGAGAGTTAAATATTTTAAAAATTTGCTAAAACATCAACGTCAAGGGGTTAAAAAGCATCGTATGCTGGGAAACATCTTGAATTCTTATGAGTAATTAATGTGCATGTCAAATGTGAAAGTCATATCTCCTCTCAATCAAAAGTTATAATTAAATGCAACATTTTTGAAAAATAGATTAGGCTTCAAGGTCAGGGTCACAGAGTCGAAAGTCATTATTTATTTGGGGAGGCTTATCACAGGTAATAATATACATGCAAGTATAATATGAATGCCTTAACAACATGTTCAAAATGATGAATTGAAAACAATGCAATTTTTTTGCAAGAAGGTCAAACTTCTAGGTCACATTTAAAAAAAATCATGCCATTCTTACAGGTAAATACTAATACATATGTTTAATACGAATGCCATGTCTCTTCTCATTCAATAGATATGACCGTGATGACCAAGGTTAAATTTATTGAGACAGATGGACAGACTGACATACAAATATACATATTTCTATGTGAAATGGGTAAAATTGGCCCAGTGGTTCTATAGAAGTTAAAAATGTAACAGGTTTTCAGACAAACAGATGGACAACAAACGATATATGATAAGGAAACCAGAAAAGCTCAAATGAGTGTTTTGAAAGGGTTACAATGGTTACAATATTTGAAAGGCTGTTCTTTTTTTTCATGCAGAGATATGACCAACATATTCATGTTTCATATTTTCTTTATTGATTTTTTGTTTGTTTGTTATGAAAACATCTCTCTCGGGAATTTTTCCCTTATATAGAGACACCACCAAATAATAATGAACACAAGATGTGTTTGTGAAACAGTGATGCCCCTCTCCCCCCGTATGGAAGCCTATGGCGAAGGTTGAGGTTTCTCAAATATATGTCAAACTCAAAGGTAAAGGTCAAAGGGTTCAAATTGTTGATATCAGAAGAAAGTCTTGCCACAAGGAATACACATGTGAAATAAGTAATCCCTAGTACTCCTTGTTCAAAAGTTAATTGCCAAGGTTAATTTTTTTTTAAGTGGTTCAAACTCTAATGTCAATGTCAAACATATTTATACCTGTTGAAAGTTCCAATGAATACACATGTTAAGCATGAGAGCCCTAGCACCTACTGATCAAATTTTGGCCAAGTTTAAAGTTTGGTATTTTTCTTGTAAAAATGTGTAAAAATCCAATGTCAAGCGATCTAGAGGTGAAAATTCATGGTACCCAAATAAAATTCTTCTCACAAGGAATTAACTTATGAAATGTGGAAGCCAATTGTGGATAGCCCAATCCACATAAAACTTATGGGCAATGTTAAAATCTACCCTTTTGGAGTCTCAAGATCGATTGTTATTTCAGGGGCAGGGAGTGGTTCGGGAGATTGGATCTCCCCCCACCCCTTGGAATTTGCTTTGTTATTCAAATACTATATACTGAAGCGGATAAAAAATGACTTTGGACATCCTCCTCCTTACTTAGAAAACATTGACCCCACGACCCCACGACCCCACTATCATTGTTTTTATTTTGTTTATTTGTTTTCAGTTTTTTTTTCTGCTTGTCAGGAAATTCTGGGCTTGAATGTTTTGACTGAGATGTGAACCCCCTCTCCACTCCCAAAAAAAAATCTGGATCTGCACCAGTATTGGCAGTAACTGAATGTCACATCCACAACGAGA